TTTAGTTATGGTATTGAAAACTTCAATAGTTTTTACTTTGATAATATTTGTTGTGTGTTGTTTCATATCTCAAGGTTTTTATTTTACTCAATAGAATCGAGTCGCAAACTAAGAAAAATGTTAAACAAGTGCTTTCCATAAGTTAAGTTTTATGAACTTTTGTCATAAGGATGTTCACTCGGTGTCCCTTGTCTGTGTCCTGATGCATTGATTTAATTGTTACTTCTTGCCAGCATTTATACCCTGTGATTTTTTCTTTTGTTTTTTCATTAACATTGCCAGTTTTTTCATCTTAGTACAGTGGGGATGGCAGAGGATCTGGTAGCACAAGCATATTTGTTGGTGGATTTGTCCTGGGAGGGCTTGTTGTTGGAGCATTGGGTTGCATATATGCTCCCCAGGTATGGAAATATTACCTAGTTTCTGATTCATCAAGTCTGATTAGTTCCCTTCCCTTCTGTGGCAAAAAGTTATTATGAGAATTCAGAGGATTGGGTGTGGGATATCAGACTGTCTCGGGAAACAATTGAACTGTAGGTTTACTCTCATTTTTTAGCAATATTTCTAAACATGACAATTATCATATAGATAATTTCTTGATGTTATGCATGCTATTTGTTTCAGTAACCCTTGATAGTACTCTCATTTTTTAGCAATATTTCTAAACATGACAATTATCATATAGATAATTTCTTGATGTTATGCATGCTATTTGTTTCAGTAACCCTTGATAGTACCTTACTTAAAGAGGCGATGGGCTATTTTTGAGGACAAATATTTGTGTATTAGCAGGCTTTATCCGTTCACTGTGTTTCTGGGCTCTAATCTGCTGGACAATTTAATAGGTTGTATATTATGCTGATACCACATTGTCTTGCAGATAAGCAAGGCACTAGCTGGGGCAGATAGAAAAGATTTGATGAGAAAGCTCCCTAAATTTATATATGATGAAGAGAAAGCTTTGGAGGTGAGAACTTGTTCTAGAAATGTCAAATGTCTCTACTTGATTGTGTGATTTATTTTTGATGTTTCAGTAGGGAAAAACTTTGCGTCACAATTTTCACTCTGCTATTAAGCCATGTTGTTTACAAAATAGTGAATTTGTGTTTGTTGGTTTTTGTATAAAGGCCATCTGTAACCCATGCATCTCTTGTTTTGGTCACTTTATTACGCTGCGGCCAGCACTTATGCATTTCATGTTCATTACACCTAAATAAATCAAAATTACTAACTCTTATAAGCTTGCCCACTTAGATAGTAGCATATATTGAAGCATGTATAATCTTGGTCCTTTTGCTTCTGCCTGCCAACCTTTCTCCTTATCCCTCTAACCCGTTGTTTGAATCCATAGTCCTTTAGCCCGAGCTTCCTATTATTTCGATAGGTACAATGAGCCCTGTGTGCTGGAAAAATTACTCCTTTCATGAAGAAAAGAAGAAAGAAGCAAAGGAACTTCCAAATAGAAGCCAAAGAACCCACTTGTCTTTTGCTCTAATAATTCTGGTAGTGGAATAAACACTTGGGTTTATCTCTAAGCAGTCCTGGTTTCTAAGTTTTGTTAGTTCTCAGACAATGTAGATAGGGAAAAACTGAAAGCTTGGAAAGAAGAATTTTCCACTGTGTCATTCCTGAAAGGATCGCCCCCATTATTTTATTTTTGGGCGTTGGACGTTTCATGCTTTTAGATGGCTTTGATTACCCTCCTGATCATGTGAATATTATCTCTGCATGCTTGTACGTCGCAAGGTTTTTGTTAAAGCATTGCGGAAGTATTCAATAGGTTGATTTTTACCGCCCCTTGAAATATCTTATTCTGCTTTTGTGACACGCCACTCTTTAATAAATCCTTTTTCTGCTTTGTAGTGGATTATTCTAGTATCCTAGACAATAAGGTCCTCTGCATGATATATCCTGTCGACATTGTATTGGTATTGATGAAATAAACTTCATCCTGCTAATCAGTTGCAAAGCAATGTATGCCACCCACTGCACAGGTCCACGGGATGTTAATGTTAGGAATGAATTTAGCCTTTAGCATCAAGCTGTATTAAGTCTCGAACACCCTGTTAGGCCTCGTGCAAAATGTTGTTTGGCAAGTTGTTGACTTGGAAAACATGTCAGATGAAAAGAATAACAAAATATATAGTTCCCTAAATGGCCTCATTAGATTGGGGACAAACTTTAAGGATTCAAATTAATACCCTCAAACATGGAACCTTACTATTATTCTGTTAAGAGTCAAATAAAACCTTCTCGGTGACATTCTTGAACCCTCTGTAGTATAGACACTTCAATTATGGTAACATGTCCGACACGTGTCAGACACGAGTCGATACTGACACTTCTGGGACACTCTGCCGTAATCATTTTCCTTTTTATATTAGAAATATTATATATTGTTAATTCAAAGTTATTCGCAAGTAACAAATAGGTACTCATGTTTAAAAGATTTTAACAAGAAAAATTAATAAGTATAAAACTAAATTTATACTATAAACTTCTCGGACACTTTATCGTAATCATTTTTCTTTTTATATTAGAAATATTATATGTTGTTAATTCAAAATTATTAGCAAGTAACAAATAGGTTCTCATGTTTAAAAGATTTTAACAAGAAAAATTAATAATAAGTATAAAACTAAATTTATAATATATAAATGAAGAATTTTTAAAAATTTAATCAACATATCGATGACGTGCCATGTCTGTATTTTTTTAAAAATCGCGTGTCGGCATATCCGACATGTATCGTGTCGGACACACGTTTCCGTGTTCGTGCATCATAGCTTGAACTCAATAATACTTCTGAAGGTGATTATAGCGTGATGGTGATGGCTTTGGAGGTTTCGTGATGGGATGGTATGGTTATTTTTAGTATATTAAGTCATTATTGAAAAAAAAATGATGATTTGAATAGTGATTTTTTGGAGAATGTGTGGTTACAAGTAGAAAAAGTTTTGTGTTTACATGCAAAATATTTTATTGGGTGAATATGTAGTTGTGAATGAGTACAAGAATTAGAGAGTTTTATTTAAAGGGAGATAAACAGAGGCTAAATGTTTAACTCGGGGTATTTTGAAAAATGGGACTGAGTGGTTATCTTTCCTGAGACATCGGAAAACAAAAATAATCAATTTGATATGCAAGGAGCAGCCAAAAAACTAAAAAAAGAAAAGAATATAGGAGCATAGATTCTATGTGCTATTGCATCCTTAATCAGTAGGAATTTTGTTTGTCCTATGATTACTATTGACAAAGAATATCATTTTTGGTTGTTTTGTTCAAAACAGAGGACACGCAAGATACTAACCGAAAAGATTGCCCAGCTGAATTCTGCCATAGATGATGTTTCAGCTCAACTTCATGCAGACGATGAACCGAATGGAGCAGCAGTAGCGCCCGATGAACTCGAAGCTTCCATATGATACATACTTTGCATTCTGGAACTCTAATAATTAACAAATGTGAAATTCGACTTCCAGTGGTGTCTTAAATATGTGGATTACTGTTTGATATTCATGTTTGGAATTCTCTCCATTCCTACGTATATGTTGCAGAGTAAGAAGCCGGGCTATTGTGATAAATGTGTTATAAAATGCTCAACAGAATATCATTATTTGAAATGTGTTATAAAATGCTCAACAGAATATATTCACAACTGTATGCCTAAGTTCGTGTTTGGCAATCATTATTTGAAAACTTTTTTCTTATATATTCATTTTTAACTGAACATTTCTACAATAAAATATTTTGTACGTAAACCTAAAGTTTTTCCATACTTTTAAAATAACACATTCTTCTAAATATCACTATTCAAAATGTTTTTTATTCAAATAATGATCGTCAAATATGGCTAAATTAGCCGAACTCCTATACTTAATTTTTTCGAGGGTAGTGATACAAGTCTTTTTCAAAGAAAAGAAAATCCATAGCAACTATAGAAGGGAAATTTCTTGTGAAAAAAAGAGGTATCATCATGATTTTTAAAACGAGAAAGAGTATCTCAATTGTAATAGTAAGTTACTTGAGAGTGTCTTTACAATTTTATTTTTAGGCTCTTTCCTTTTTCACGAAGAATTAAGCTAAATAAACATAATACTTGACATAGGGATTGACTGATTACTCACATTGTATGTGGGTCCCGACCTGAATTAAATAATGCCGACCTCCCCATGTGTGTGTTGTGTCATCCCCTATGTCAAGTATTATGTTTGTGTAGCAAAACTCTTTCACGAATGGATAAAGGCATAATAAATGGTGTTTCATGTAATTTATATTTCTTTCGTGATGTCGTTAACAAGTAAAATTTATCGTGATTAGTGCTTCTTATGTTTAGCTGAGCTTGAATTTTTTTGCTAATAAGTAAATAAGTGAGTTTTAAAATAAATAATTTTATATTACTTAAATTTAAATAAATACATTACTGTTTTGAGGGTAATCATTTCCATTAAAAAAATAATTGTAAATTCTGGAGATAGATTAATCATTGAACGGGAAGATAATTTTTCAATACCCCCCCTACCCACCCCATCACCCAACACCCAACGTTGGTCCTTTGGAGTGGTATAGTTGTAAATACATAAATCATTCGTCCTAATTTCCAACGAAAAACAGAAAAAATTCCCAATTCAAAACCCCGAGCGAATCAAAATTTCCGAAAAATTCATTCCCAAAATCCGATGCACTGTGCTTATTCTGTCCAATTTCCAACACATAATCGACAGCACACTCTTCCATTAAACTCTGATGTCTTCACTCTATGATTATTACTAATCAAATCAAAATATTAATCTTGCCCTATCCGCATAAGCCAATTTCTTCACGGTCTCGGGTCCGACCCGCCATAGCAGTCGGTGGAGCTGTCGGATCTTGTAAACTGTCTCTCCTTGCATGTTGAATGATCTTTGTCGATCTGTGGACTTTTCGTGGATTCGATTTAGAGGAAATATAATTGGTGGATTTTATTTCTAGAAGAGAATTTTTAGATTTATATTCAGGAAATGTCGGGGCAGAGTCCGAGTATGGATCAATTTGAGGCCTATTTCCAGAGAGCTGATATGGATCGGGATGGTCGGATCAGTGGCAACGAGGCTGTTGCGTTTTTTAGAGGGACCAATTTACCCACACCAGTCCTTGCTCAGGTTCCCCTGCCTTTTTTTGTATTTATTATTTCATTTTGGTACCTAGTTAGACATTTTTAATTCTGTGGTTAATACAATTATGATTTGCTTTGAGCTTAATAATAATTAGGGTGACTGTCAACAGTTTGGATTACAATTGAACGGGGTAGTAGATACTCCGTTAATTACCGGGTGGAATAGTAGGAGTAGATGATTATGTAATTTGAGCTATGTTTAAATTCTCAATCCTCAGCAGTCAATTTCAGGGTACATCTAGATGAGGAATACGAAGGCAACAATTAAAGCATATTTGTTATTTAAAATAGGGAAATGAATAGGTGACAAGAGAAGTCACTCTTGTTTTAAGAAGAAGAAATCAAAAAACAGATACAAACAACAGCAGAATAAGTTGCTGTGCATATTGTTGGGACTGTGTGAGTCAACTTTGTTAAACTGAGATGAATAGTAGAAGTCACGCATAGGCAAGCTATATTGCCCTATTCTCATGTCCAAGCGAGATATAGCTGACAAGCAAGGTTCTAGGGAATCAGATCGCTGCTTCTGCTGCATAGATCTGGGAGTTCTTAATTAATACCATATTATATAGCTCTCTAGCCGTGTGTGTATATCCCTTGGTGCATTGTTTTCTCCCCTACAGAAAAACTATGGATTTGTCAGAAACAATAACTATACTTGATATGCGGATATGGAATTGAAGGCGAGCAACAATTGGGCTAGATGGAATTTTTATCTACACAATCTCTTGATTATGATATTTCTTGTGAGTTCAATGTACATTTTATCTTTAATACGTGCGGTGACATTAATTGCGAATCAAAGCATTTGGTTTCCAGCCGGTGCCAATCTTTAAGAATAAATTAAATTTTCACGATTGTTCAAATTATAGAAGTAATAATCTCATGAAAGATGATACCTATGAATTATTGGATAATGATTAAGCATAGTTTAAGATATGATACAAAGCTCTCTGACTTCCGTTTTATGCGTGGGAGATTTGTGTATGGTTTATATTAGTTTAGAGAAAACCTTATATTAGGGTACATGGGGAAGCAATATGGAGGGTGCTAGAGAAGGAATTTCTATTAACTATATGAATAAAAGATGTGGTGACAACAACGGTAGAGATTATCTTTTCACCATTCTGTTGGAGAATCTGCTAGTGCGTGTAAGAATATGTGAGTTGCATAGAGGCATAGTTGAAAAATATTAAATTTAGGATTTTATCCACATTGACATATTTGAGCAGTGTTTTCTTGTAATTAGTAAGCCAATTTATCATAGAATTTTTTCCTTTTTGTATTTAACAACAATAAATTTGTTGTATTCCATTCTATGAATAAGAGAGTGAAAATTTCACTAAGCCCAGGCTGTCTACATGGTATTGGAGCCATCCTATTGTACTTTTCCATTTCGACCTTCATTGCGTATATTTATTTTGGCTCTCTGTTGTTAATTTTCTGCCTTATCTTTCTGTTCAAAGGTATCATCACGTTGCACCATGACATATACCTCTAAACATATTGATCCCCCGTTTGGGCCACCTTATTTTCTCATTAAAATGAAAAATATGATCGTTATCCATCACATCAACATTTAAATTCAAATTTTCTATCTCTTGTGTGGGCCCCAATAATGGCTATATTTTTCATTCTCATTCTACAAAAAGGTGGCTCAAACAAGGACTGATTCTTAACCCAAAAACACTGCCGAACTTCAAAGTGTAGTAGGTTCCTTTAAAGTCAACGGTGGAAACCATCTTGAGAGGTCACATTTAGTGAAAACTTACCTGAAGGGAAGGGAAAACTAAATTATTTGCTTGGTCTAGTGATTAGCAAGACATATCAAAAGTTTTTGCATAGGATAAATGACTTCTAAATAATATCATGCTTATAGAACGTTATGCAATCTGAAGTCGATTGTACATGTATATATCTCTCAACAACGCAAGAAATTTGGGAACCAGTTTATCAAAACTACTCCGAGGTGAGAGGCGGGTCTCAGATTTTTGAACTTAAAATGAAGATTTGTAACACCAATCAAGACACTCTATTCGTACCCGGGTATTGCAGTATTTTGAAAAGTCTACAACTCAAGTGAGATCATTATCATAACTTCATAACTTGTAGATGAAGTATAGTGAGGACGCAACTATGCATCAAGTTTATAATAGAGGAAGAGTTTCTGATTTCTTAGTTGGTTTAAATGTGGAAGTTGACCGTGTTAAAGTCCAGATTATGTTTGATCATGTAATCTTGGAACAAATACGTATACTAGATCTCCTCGGAATGTTAGGCTGTAGAGCAGCTAACTTTTTAATTCATCCCCTATAGCATTAGTAAAAAGAGAGATATCATCAATGCTGGTTGGAAAATTGATATCTTTTCTCACTTACTACGTAAATTATTATTATGAAAACTCAATCATATATAAAAACAAGTATTAGTTACCCAGCTTCTCCCGCACTAAGCGGAGGAATACTGTAGAGCTGTGCCAACTATTTTTCTGAGTTTTCAAGAAGTAACTGATAAACTTAGCACCTCGATCAGACATAACTGTCAATTGCAATACACATAAATGAGCAATTTTCTTGAAGAAAAATTTAGTGACACAGGAGGCATCAATAGTTTTTAAACTGGGAATAAAATGTGCTATTATAGAACATGTCCGTGAGACAGTCCCAGAATAAATTCCATACTAAGGTCGTGCAAGTGGTATGCACGTGGAATTGGAAGTGGTATGTATATCCTAGGGGTTTTTAGTCTTGCACAACACTAGGAAACAATGTGAACAATGTGCCTTTTTGGGAGGGCCATAACACCTATCTTCCACTAAGGCAATTATCTAATCCCTAACTAAACATCCCGTAGGACCTTTGGTGTATAGTTGTCAATCAAAAAAATCTCTAAAATCTCTAAGTGAAATCTCTAAGTGAAGTATGATGGATACACATCTAATCCTTTGGAAAGATACCTATCCGAGAATGTTCACATGTTCTTGACTGTTACTTAAGAGGTGTTTAAAGATGACACTGAAATCTGGACAATGACGATATTTGTCTTAAATCACACAAAACTTACCACATTATTGCTCATAGGGTGTATAGCAGTGGTGACATGATTTAGGGTATCTATAGCCTTATTTTCAACCCCATAATAGTTATTAGACCAATTATGCTTTATGGTACTACTTTTGGGTTGTTAAATAACAAAATATCCATAAGATGCAAGTAGCGGAAATGAGGATGTTAAGATGGACCATATAGAATAGATTAGGCAAGGAATGAAAATACATGTAAAGAAATTAGGTGCAGCAATTGAGTATAAATAAGAAATAACGACTTGGATGATTGGGGTATACCTTGTGAAGACATTAAGAAACTTGATTTTATAATGAGTGATGCAATTCTAGTAGAACAGGTTAAATAATTGAAAGATGACCAAAATTAACTTGGCGTAATATAACATAGTTGGTTCTGAAGTTTTTCTTAGCCGACCTTACATTTACTGTTCAGATCACATTCAACTGATGCATGGCAATTGCATAATTTACGCATTTGTCTATCACCATACATGCCTAGGGCTCTTATTGAATTGTATATGATTATTATAATTTCAGCAATGGGAACAGTACTGATAAGCATGCAAACATTTCGTGTAAATATATCTGTTACTCTTAGGTCTGCCATTTTCTATTATTTGTTTTGAACGCTAGAAAGTCATTTTTCTGGCTTATGTGCAGATATGGACATATGCTGATCAAAATCGAAGTGGTTTCCTTGGTCGTCCCGAATTTTATAATGCTCTTAAACTTGTTACAGTGGCACAAAGTAAGCGAGAGTTGACTGCTGATTTAGTGAAGGCTGCTTTGTATGGTCCGGCTTCAGCTAAAATCCCTGCTCCTCAGATTAATTTTGCAGCTACACCAGGCTCTCAGTCAAATATTAATGCAGGCGCATCCACCACACCATTGAGTGGTAATCCAGTCGCTAATCAAAGTACTGGTGCAAGTGGCCCACTTGGTTTTCCATCTCAGCAAACTCAACAGGTAAGGCCACCTCGGCCTCCGCTTCCTAGCTCTGGATTCCAGCCTCATCAAGGTGTTGCAAGCCAAGGAATGCCTGGAGTAGGTGCTATGAACGTTCCTCAAGGCCCTAATTCCTCTGTTTGGGTTGGTGGGAGGACTGATGGTTCCCAAACAGGGTTCACTTCTCAAAATTTCAATCAGAGCTCCAGCCCATCTACAACTCAAGGTGGCTTTGGCACGGGTATGTCATCGTCTTCACCTGTTACACAATCTATCCCACAGAAGACTACTGGGTTGATGCAACATACTTCATCCAAACCGCAAAATACTGTTCCCCTGGGTACCCAGATTGGAGTGGAAGACTCCAAAGCACTTTCAGTTACAGGAAATGGCTTTGCATCAGACTCAGTATTTGGAGATGTTTTCTCAGTGACATCATCTCAACCAAAGCAAAATTCCACAATACCTTCATCTCCTGCCAGCAGCTTACCTGCTTCATCATCCACAGCACATATTTCTGCAGGAAGTCAGCTTACAGTCAATTCAAGTACTCCTGCTCAGCAACCTCCATACAATCAAACTCAGCAATTTCCATCCACATTAAAAGCAAACCAACATGCTTCAGCGCAAACTTCATCTACATTTTCTGTTGCATCTGGAAATTCTATTCCTGGCCAATCTCACCCTCCATGGCCAAGAATGTCCCAGGCTGATGTTCAGAAGTACAGCAAGGTATTTATGCAGGTTGACACGGACAGAGATGGAAAAATCACTGGTGAACAGGCAAAGGACTTGTTCTTGAGTTGGAGGCTACCGCGAGGTACGTTATGCTTTATTAACATCGTGATTGATTCCATTGCAATTTTGTGTCTTTTTTTTAAAACTATCATTTACTGATAATCTACTTATTAATTATTATCCTTGTTTCCAACAGTGTCTTTTTAAAAATAAAATAAAATAAAATTGCGTAACTATCTTATCCGTATGTCTTTGAATTGCCAGATTTTTTTTTTCATTTAGCATTGTTCATAAAAGATTCTGTCAGTGAGGAAATATATTTGAGAGAGAGTTGGGGCATGAAAGTGAAATTATTGAGGGTGTAATGCACAACCCGGTTTTGGGGTGGCGCACCTTGTCCAGCCGAACATTTTGACAGGCCATGCTGGGCTGGCCCCATATATGCTTGGGTCCTTGGGCATTGTAGGCAGTCATACCAAACAGTTTCTTGTTTCTTTATTTAGTTATAATATAAATGAAAAACGTGTGTATGTTTGTGATATGATTGCTTCGTGCCTATCTTGGCTGCAGAGTCCCAACTCTCTGTTCAGAGTTGCCTTTGTGCTGTTTTCTTCAAATAGGCTCGCAAGACAGAGCCTTTCTACCTTTAGGTTAGTTTGTTTTAAATATTACTGGTCTCTGTCGCCTGGCCAAGCATTGCCCTTACAGTGTAGTACCTGGGTTTGGCTTTTTCATGAACTGTGTCACGGCCCACTGTTATAACCCACTAGGTTTGGGATTCTCAAGATCACGTTACTTGTTGAAATCAGACTAGCTTAAAAACATGCATTGCAATTATAACCTGAAGCACCACGTGCATATACATGTACTCTATGAATCTGGATAATATAGATCCTAGAAGAAATTAAATGACACTCAACACTTGTATTGAAACTCTGGTAACCGATCTTGAAAATTCTGACTCAATGGCTGCTCTCTCTCCATCTTCGCTTGACATGGATTTTGGATCCAAGAAATTAGGCCTCTAATGAAAGTTCTGGGTAGTGGGTAGCATGAAAATATCTATATGACACGAATAAGACGAGATGTTTCTATGCCAATCTGAACCTTGCTTTTTCTTTTTGCAATTACAAGTTCAAAGGTGATTAGCCAATTAAATTCATCATTCTGACCTTTTCTTTTACGAATACATATTCTTTTGTTTATCAGAGATCTTAAAGAAGGTCTGGGACTTATCCGATCAAGACAATGACAGCAAGCTTTCTTTGAGGGAATTCTGCATTGCTCTCTATCTTATGGAGAGATATAGGGAAGGCCGCCCTCTCCCTACAGTGTTTCCAAGTGGTGTTATGTTTGACGAGACATTGTTGCCTGCCTCCGGTCAACCTAACACTGCATATGGAAATACAGCTTGGAGACCTGCTGGTTTATGTTTTTCCCTCTACTGAACTCTATAATGTCCACCACACATGAGCACATACACACGTGCATATTATCTATCTCCAGTTTGTTTCATGATCTATTACTTTGTTATTAGGCTTCCAACAAGCTCAAGGGACTAGGAGTGCACGGCCAGCCACTTCTGTTGGTGTAGGAAAGCCACCTCGTCCAGTTAGTCGTGATGATAATATGCAGCCCAGCCAACAAAAACCCAAAGTTCCAGTTCTGGAGAAGCATCTTGTAGATCAACTTAGCACAGATGAGCAGGATTCCCTGAACACTAAGTTTCAGGAGGCGAAGGATGCTGAGAAAAAGGTGATTCGGTGCTGCTAACTGCATTCTCTCTCTCTCTCTCTCTCCCTCCCTTCCTCCCTCTCCCCTTTCCTTTTTTGGTCATTATTGCTACCAAAATCAATTTTGTAGTTCCTGAAATATAGCTATGTGCTTGTGCTCCTAAAATAGAAAACCATCCTTTATAAGTCTGGATAATGGGCTTTAGTAACAAAGCTAGAGGAGGTAATCCAGAGTGAATCAGGGTGTATATCCATGTCTAATGTAACATGTTAATATACTTTTCTTTGTTCTTATGATGTAACTATTTAGAGTTGCAAAAAGAACACTGCTCAAGAGTTTCTTTTAACAAGAAAAAGAGATGAAATACAAAGTCGATTAAGCTCCTGTTTGACTCTTTTTATTTCCCATGCTCATTTTCAACCACGCATTCATACAATAAAATATTTTGCACTTAAACTCAAAACTTTTCCATATTTTCTAACCATGCATTATCCAAAAAAATCACTATTCAAAACATCATTGATCCTCAATTTCTTTTTATAATGGCCATGAAACAGGGGCTAACTAACATATGATGCATCCGATGGGTCAAATTTATTAGCTCCAGAGATTGTTTAAACATTTGTCTTATTTTTGATTTGCCTTTTTCTCAGTGAGTTTTGATGACAACTTGTTTTCTTGTTGGAGTTGAGGAAATGACAAAATTTTCATTATCTCAATCCATGTAACATGTATCATGATGCTTTTCTAAATCTTGAAACAGCAATCATAGAACTTTAGTTGATTATAAGATGTTTCATTGAAGAATTCGTTTCTATATTCTCAGTCATTACGATCGATCTGAGAAAGGATCGTTACAACACAAGAACGCAAAATATGTGATACTTATATCAGAACCATAATAGCTACTAGCAGATAAAAAGTTCTCGGTCTGTGTTTCTTGTGCTATTTCATTGTTGCAGTATAAGTTTTTCACAATTCTAATTGGATAGTTTTTACGTTATTTAAGAGCTTAACTTTCGAGTAAAGCTGGATTGTAGGATGTTGTTGTTCAAGTTCTTAGTCTCTCAAAGGACACAAACTGTCTCTTTTGGTACCTTATCCAAGAATTGAGTTGCTTTCTTTGATTCCCATCAAAAGGATTCTACGAGTTTCATATGTTTGAAGCAATTTTTTTAAACCTAACACACATCTAGGTCAATGTATAAATTTTCATTGTATGGTTAATTTGATAATGATTTCTAGCTGAAGTTATTAATGCATCTATAGATTTTATATATTCGTTCAGTTAAATGTGTCCAAATTAAGAAGAAATATATTTTACATAGCTTCACGAATCCTTTCGATAAGTCACCTGCCTCTTTGATTTTATTTAATATTATTTCTCATCAGTGGACTTGTTTGAAACTAGGGCAAGTGATGCTTGATATTCAACAAGCATGTTTAAGAGGCTATGCAATTTAGGATGAAGGGATAACAAAGGATTTTGGGCTATTCTAATAGTAAATTTGTCCTTTTCATTTCGTTATTGCTGTGTTATTACTTTAATTCAGTAAGGTTACGAGGGGACTCAAAGGATACAAGGATGTAGTCAAATGCAAGGTTTGTTATTCACTTTGCCGTGGATAAAGAATATAGAGGGGGTGGACTGTAGCCTATTCATGTTAACTTTGATTTCTTGAAAATTGAATGTGAAATGAACTGTTAGCCATGCTGCTTTACACCATTTCTAAACAAACACCCTTCCTAATGTAGTTGTGAGACAAACTTACAGTTCATTCTTAGTTCTGCTTTCTTTTAGAATTTGAATAGAGGTTATACGACTCGTATTAATCTGATAATCCAACCAAATTTTGTGAATCGCTCAATAAACTTGACCTCTACCTTCCTTCCATTTCAATGTGCAGCCAAGTTAGCCAAGTTAGAATGTTAGTTTGTGGTTAATAGAAAGTTGCTTTCTTCAATGTAACATTATTGTTTCCCCCTTTGTGTGTAGCAGAATAAGATATACTTCTTAAGGGTAAAGTGATTGCTTCCCCTTTTCCCATAAAACCTCACTTAATTTTGTAATGTTCATTTGCACTTTTGTCTACGTTTTCAATGCAGGTATTAGAACTGGAAAAGGAGATTTTAGAGGCTAAAGAGAAAATTCAGTTTTACCACTCAAAGATGCAAGAACTTGTGAGTTTATATGGTCTCTTTCCCATGCTACAGATAGGGTGGCATTTAGATTCACTTCGCAATACATTTAATTTTAAATGAACTACTATTATGTTGGATTATTCTACCGTTGCCATAATTTCACTAGTTCACTTTACATCCACGTGTTATTTGATAAGAGACGGGCAGGGAGATGTAGTTGTAGATGTAGAGTGACATGACATCTTATTTTATGGCCTCTGAGTCTCATTACGTAGATACTTCACTTGTCCCATGGTTGGCACGATCTTTGTTTTGGACATATTAAAGTTAGCGCACATAATTTGTTATACTATATTAAAAAATATATTAGTTTAAAATTCACAATGCATCATAAAACTTCTTGTGTTAATATCTGCCATTTGTTGCCAGATTCTATACAAAAGCCGGTGTGATAATCGGCTAAATGAGATTACTGAAAGAGTTTCCGGTGACAAAAGAGAGGTATACCTTTGGAGATAAGGGTTGCATATATATACAAAGATACCTGCTATATGTGTGACTCACTTGACCAAGTTATTTATCAGGCTGACTCATTGGCAAAGAAATATGAAGAGAAGTACAAACAGGTTGGAGATGTAGCATCTAAATTAACCATTGAAGAGTCCACGTTTCGTGATATTCAGGTATTCTGATTACTTTCTGCTGCTAGACTTGACAAGAGTATCTGTTCACTCTGGCTTGTCCTTTTTCTCTTTCTGCTATCTATATGTGCTGTCACCAGATTTGTCAGATTATAAGTTTGGCTGTATGGTATGTAGGAGAAAAAAATGGAACTATATCGGGCAATTGTCAAGTTGGAACAAGGCAATGCTGATGGTATTCAGGTATGCTCTACCATCATATGATTTCATGAAGATCTGTGGAATACTTTTAAGAACAAGTTTTGGTTTCTCCAGGATCGTGCTAATCAAATCCAGTTAGATCTTGAGAAGCTGGTAAAAGCCTTAAATGAACGTTGCAAAACTTATGGATTACGTGGAAAACCAACTTCATTGGTCGAGCTTCCATTTGGTACTGAAATCAACAGAGTTATAATTGAGCATTTTCATTTATTTCATTCTTCTCTAGTATGAACTAATCATCTAGTCAATCATTGTGGATTCTACTGTTGGTCACCACAAATATCTAAACTTAATTCTGCTAACTTTTCTATCGCATTGGTATATCTCCTTCTTTTATGTTACATACATAAACCTGCATATGAATCTAAAACCATGAAACAATGTGGTTTGCCTTTCAGTTCCTTCTGTGTGCTATTGGTTCTTTCGTTTTGACTTCATTTCACTAATTATTCATTTACTTGGACTGTTTCATTCATGCATAATCTTAAATTAATTTCATATCTTGGGGAAGCTGTACTATTTTAGCTTTGAAATCGGTATGAATGTCGTAGCGTGTTAAAATAATTAACGCTGTTTTATCTGCAATATATCAGATCCTCAGTTGTAATTGCATACATATTTCTAATTGTAGGGGTTAGTTTTTTATTAACGAGTCAGATGATGAAATGGAAAGTATTGGACTTTTTTATGTTCTCGTTCACTACTATTCGTACACAGCCCTGCTGGCATGTATTTAAATAATGAAGAAGCTTAGAGCCTATAAAGTGCTCAAACAATCTGGCAGCCTCAGCAAGAGTTGATTTATAATGGAATTCTTTTTAGACGATCAAATTTAGTTCATTTAAGAAAATATTGAATTGATTTCATAACCAACTTAGTAATTCCAAAGATGGATCAAAATGAGTTTGTCATGCTCTTGAGGAATATTTTGTTCATGTTTATATGATCCTTTTTTTTTTGTTATAAATTCTGTCCAGGTTGGCAACCTGGTATACAACAAGGAGCAGCTGATTGGGATGAAGTTTGGGACAAGTTTGAAGATGAAGGTGCTCTTTGAAATTTAATAATAGTGTTTCTAAAATATACTTTATACCTGATAGTGGGAACTTTTGGAATAATGCTATCTAGCACCACCAGACTAAGTTGCTACACATTGAATCATATGACCTTACATTTAAATGACATTAAATGTAAATGAATATATCATCTAATGTCATTTAATTGCCACTGGTGCCAAGCACTAGTGATGTTAACAACAATGCTCGAACTTTCGATGATGTCCTACAATATTACCGGCAATTTAGCTTCGTTTCCATGTGGAATAAATATGAGTCCCTGCATTTTTGGAGGAAAGTGTGTTTTGGAATAATGATTTTTTGGAGAATGTGTAGTTAAAAAAAAAGGTGTGGGTTTATGTGAAAAATTATTTTATGGGATAATGTGTGGTTGAAAATGAGTTTTTCAAAAATGGAGCCAAACAGGGGCTGCATTCCTAGTCTATTTACAGATCCATCAAAAAATTTTAAAAAAAAAATGAGGTCTACTGTATATCAATTGACTTTTCAATTGAGATCCCACTGATTTCTCTTGTTGCACTTTCCTCAATTTCAGGATTCACATTTGTCAAAGAGCTTACTCTTGAGGTTCAAAATGTCATTGCCCCTCCCAAAGCTAAGTCTTCATTGCTTAGAGAGACAACAAATACTGCCTTAGATGACAGTGGTGGTGTAAAATCACCCTCTAATGCTGATGAGAAATCAGAGGTGGTTAGTGTTGGGGACAAGACACCTAAGGCAGAGGGGACAAATACACACAACTTAGAGGAAACTGCAAGAAGTCCACCAGACAGTCCTGCAGGAAGTAATGCAGTCAAGAGCCCATCAAAGGAATTCCAAGTTCCTCAGACTAGAAAGGACATTAACGTAAATGGTTCAACCCATGCGTTCGAGACCCAGAGGTAGTGTGATTATTTTCTCCCTCTTTTGGTGGTTTTTCTGTGTTGTCATTTGTAGACTACTATTCCGGTTGAGACCATTGATTAGTAGGAACAACTGTCATACATTTTATGTATAGATATATACACTGCTTTTTGTCAAAAAATTCTGACGTAATGGATTTTCTAATGCAGTGAATATGGAGGTGCTGAATCTGTACTTTCTGGGGACAAAGGTTATGATGAACCTGGATGGGGTTCCTATGATATGCATTATGATATGGATGCGACGTGGGATTTCAATCCTCTCTCTACCAAGGTATCTGAGAACGACGCTTCAATGTTCATGCCAAATATTTTACTAGCATTTTCATTCATTATGGATTGTATTCTAGGTACATTTACTGTGTTTAAAACAACTTTTCTCACCGTTTTCGCTCAATTTTTGGTTTTGTTAGAAGCATATGTGCAGGCTTTCACTCTAACCCACACTCACGCCCACGCCCGTTTGCACAAAAATAAAAATAAAACTATGTTGTTCTGGTGCCGAGTTTAAAACTTTCCTTTTCCTTAGATGCATGGGAGTTAGTTCTCATCTTATTTCTTCATCACTGTAATGCAGGACTCAGACGGTAAGAGGCATAGTGGAAGTTCTTTATTTGGTTCTGATAACTGGGATCTACCGCCAATTAAAACTGGGACGACAGCCACAGATTCAATGTTCCCAAAACAGGGCCCTGTTTTTGATTCTGTCCCAAGTACCCCCATTACAAATTTTGCCAGCTCTCCACACATAGATAACATGTTTCCAAAGCAGGGTCCTCTTTTTGATTCTGTTCCAAGCACCCCAATTTCGAATTTTGCCAGCTCTCCGCACATTGATAACATTTTCCAGAGGAAGAGCCCATTTGCTTTTGCAGATTCTGTCCCAAGTACCCCAATGTTGAATTCTAGCAACTCTCCAAGAAGTTTCAGTGAAGGTTTAGAAGATCATTCATTTGACAGCCTCTCCAGATTTGATTCCTTCAACATGCATGACAGTGGCCCTTTTGCATCACGGGAAACCTTTTCAAGATTTGATTCCATGCGAAGCACAAGAGATTCCGAATTTGATCAGGGGTACTTTGGTACACAAGAGTCACTTGCAAGATTTGACTCATTCCGTAGCACAGCGGACTCTGAGTATGGACTCTTCCCGCCACGCGATTCATTTACCAGATTTGATTCCATGAGCAGTACCAGAGACTCTGAGCATGGCCGTGGTTTCACATCCTTTGACGATTCAGATCCATTTGGATCAAACGATCCATTTAAGACATCACATGAGGCTCAGACTCCAAGGAGAGATTCAGACAGTTGGAAAGCGTTCTAGCACTATAATTTGTTTACTAGTTTCTGTCTCATTCGAAGCTTGTCGTGAGGGTTGTTGGTGTAGGTAGGGCAATTTGGTTGTTTAATTTGACAATTCAGTGTGTTCCATCTGTGTCACTTGTGAGTTATCGATTTCTTAATATTGCAAATATTCTTTTGTTTTTGTTTATCAGCTTAGATTGTAGAATGTGCACACGTTATGACAGGGCTTTTTATGAGTTATTTGATTGTCAAATTTGTTCTTTTGTTTTAATGTAAGATATTTGAGGATGACACAAACATGGAGAATGTGAATTTTGCTGTTTTGATGCCTACATTTGCTCTGTCGTTTATTTTATAGTTGCCCGTTCCATATTTGGTACGTTGGATAGTCAGGCTCGAACATGATCCAAAAGAGGACATTTCATATACTTGTCTATCATTTTGTTTAGCTTTAATACATGATGGCGTGGCCTCTCTACTTGCTATCCTCTTTTCAATCAAACACTACCGAAATCGTTTATCTCAACATGTGTCCTTGCTTGGTCTCCATGCATTCTCCATTAAATACTATTCCAAAATTTATTTTGGACAAAAAAAAAATGGGGTTAAACAGTGTTTTTTTTTTTTTTAATGTTGAGAGAGGCATTTGGCCACGAATAATAGCTTGTATAAACATATACATGTAAGAATATTCATATGCCCTTGAGGGCACAATTTAAATTTTTTTTTTTTTTTTGGGAAGCAATTTCTTAATTAATATCAACCATTAGACTGCGAAATGAGATTAGGGGACTCCAACCCATTTCAACTGGGCAAAAAAGGAAATTTCATTGATGTTGTGCTTGCTTCGAGTTCCATTCACTTGATTGAATATACGCCCAAGAATCTGAAGGCATCTAGGGTTCTGTCAAAAATTTTATGGCCACCAGATGACAATATATATTTCCCAATCGCACTGGAAGTGTATCATCGTTATTTACTGAACACAAACTATTTGAAGCAGAAAACGTTGGAGAAGACGAGGAGACAATTCAAGGATTACAAGTCAAACAAAATGAGTAAAAAGAGCAAGCATAAAAATGAAATATAAACAGGTTTCATGATACTGCAGTTAATCCATCAAGTTCATCAACTGGATGAAGATTTTTGTGGATGTCGTCGTCGTGCAACAGAAGAAATTGTAATAATGCATCCTGGTCTCTGTTTATTAATGATAAGCTATCTTTGAAGATGGTGTAGTGACTTCTCTGAAACCAAAATCTGACTATCCTTACGTTGTCCGTGCAATCTATACAAGGTATTGATAAGGTACCATCGTAAATAGGTTTAAAGAAAATGAGTGATCCCAAATGTACACAGGAATTATCGAAATTTTTGTGGCATAAAACGAACTATTAGCTATTTGCTCCAGTAATTCATTTCTCCTCTCAACTCAAACGGTTGTTTAAGGACCAATTCAAGATGTAAACCAAATTATGCAATCTCGAAGTACGACACTGAAGCCTTCGAGTAAAATATCTCGCAACTGACTATACAGAGCAAAAATGCAATCGTGTAATGCTGCCAAAAGAAGCTTAGTCAAACAAGCTCCAAATCAATTCGGGATTTTCTTGTGCTCTATTTAAAGAAACTGATAGGTCCTGATTATGAAGCAGAAAACAATTCTGAGGAATACTCACTTTCTTTGGGTGAAAGATAAACCACAATTGTTTGAAAGGAAATTGTCTATGCTTTTATTCATTGCAAACGTTCCAATAAATAGAGTTAAGCTTAACAGATCAGCTTCAACTCCGGAAACTAGCTAGTCTAAATTCAAGGGAGTGGGTTGTAACAACTTTGAATGAGCAAAAATACAAAACAGCAGCAGAAAATAAAATAAAAGGCAGGGTTAGACTTGGTCTAACTCAAGCTAAAAACTTGGGATTCTTCTTAGGGGTTCGTTCAGATCTTCTCAGCTTATCAACACTCCCCCCGCCAATTGGAGCCTTGTCCTCAAGGTCCAGCTAAGGAAACTGATTATGCAGGAGTGTTGTGTCCTCCCATGTAGCATCTTCAGTAGGCAATTGCTTCCACTTCACCAAGCTCTCTTCAATAAATTTATAGCCCTGTTTAATCCAGCGTGTATCTAGGATTTTCTCTGGTTCTGCGGAGACTACACCGTCATCAGTAATAGGTGGGAGCTCCAGGGTAACTTGTGGAGGACCCCCAACATATTTCTTCAAGAGAGAGACATGGAAAACAGGGTGGAGCCTTGCACCTGCTGGTAATTGCAGTTGGTAAACAACATTGCCGATCTTCTTCTCGATTTGATAAGGGCCGTAGAACTTGCTGGCAAGTTTCTGATGAACTCGTTTGAAGGCGGTTTGTTGGCGATAAGGATGTAGCTTTAGGAGGACCATATCACCTGTTTGAAACTCCACATTTCGCCTCTTCTTGTCTGCTGTTTGTTTCATTCTATTAGCTGCCATGTCCAAATTCTTCTTCAAGTGCTGGAGCAATTCATCTCGTTGTAAGAGGCTTTGATCAACTTCGTTAACCCGAGATAACCCATCAAAATAAAGTGGAATAGAAGGAGGAAGCCGACCATACAATGCTTGGAAAGGTGTCATCCCCGTTGAGCTGTGGTAGGTGGTATTATACCAGAATTCTGCCAAAGGTAAATAACGATACCATTTTCGTGGCCATTGATGGACAAAACATCAGAGGTATTGTTCAACACAGCGGTTCACAACTTCGGTTTGTCCGTCGGTCTGTGGGTGGTAGGCAGAGCTCAATTTCAACTTGGTTCCTGACATAGTGAAAAACTCCTGCCAGAATTTGCTGATAAAGATGGGGTCGCGGTCACTAATGATTGATTTGGGCATGCCATGGAGTTTGACAATGTGCTCTACAAAATGTTCAGCTACAACCTTTGCAGAAAACGGATGAGATAAAGCAACAAAATGAGCATACTTACTGAGTCTATCTACGACAACCGAAAGACTATCTTTGCCATGGGAGGATGGAAGGCCTTCAATAAAGTCCAAACTGATATCAACCCACACTTGACAGGGAACAGGAAGTGGCTAAAGTAATCCAGCTGGGGCTAGAGTTTCAGTTTTGGTTCTTTGGCAAACCTCACATTGCGTAATATTAAGAGGTTTCTTCAAATCGTTTTTGGTAAGTTTACATTTCAAATTATTGACCATCTAAAAGCTCGAGCTTTCAAAGAGGGTCACATGTGTTTGCTTAAACCGTGTCTTTTCAAAAGGTTCCTCGCTTGCAGACAGTATTCACTTTCCAATCAAAAGTTTGAACGCGTTAAAGTGGAGTGGTCATGTATTCAATTAAATTGTCTTCAACGCTATCAAACCACTTGATCAGAAATCGAAAAGCTTAAACTGACATATAAACTTGTCAGATACACAAGTTTTCATTAATGGGTGAACGAACAAACACAAACTAAGGGAAAACAAAGTATGAAATGGGGAGAATAAAGAAGAAAAATTATAATAAACAGTTTAAAAAACCAAAAAATGGTAAAATTCCACAGAAACAACAGCCTCAACTCCCAATTCACCATATATCATCGTATTCTAACATAACATTAACCCATTGCCGAAATTCAATTTAGATTCCAGAAAACGCAACGTATGATTATATATTTAAGCACAAAAAACAGAAAATTTCATATAATCACATCGTTTATAGCATTTGTATTCATGTACCTGTCAATATTGAGGAGAGAAGGGAATTTCGAGATCGTGTTGAGAAGCGAGGGATTTGTGCAACTCGACGAGTTGTTTACAAATGGTGGCGTATACAGCAATTTGTTTTCGAATAACTTCTACCTGTTCATCTGTCATTACCTTCACCACCAACCCTCCATGGTTTACACCACCGCCATTCTGTTCCGACGGCAAAGCCTACGGTGGCGGTTGGTTTTCCCACTCCATGATTAGGTGCTGCTGTCTCTAGTTGTCAATACCCACCCAGAAACCACTTTTGAGGTAATCACGGAGTCAGAAGTGGAGTAACTTAAATTAAAAGAAAGAAACGAAAATGGGAAATGCTACTAGAATTTATTTATTTTGTGCAGAATGCATTTTGAAATAATAAATTGATGAAAAATATGAAATTAAAAAATAAAAAAAAATGTGAATTTACACGTAATATTATTTTATTGAAAAATAAATGATTGAAAAGAAAAAAGAGAAAAATATATTTTGAAAAAATGAGGATCAAACGAGGGCTTGGTCCTAGATTGAGAGTCGAAATTTTTTATTTTAATAATCAAATGTGTCAAATTATTTCACTTGAAGCAAATGGAATGTTAAAAGGAAATTTGCCTATGTTTTATTATTACGTTTTGGTCAATAAAATTTTATTAAACAGATTGCTTTTTGTTTTTAAATTTGGATTATGTTCGTCATTTTGTAAGATGAAACCTTTGTTGCATTGTTTTTATCATTACAAGAATGAAAATAATTGTTGAAATTATTAGAACATTGAAAAATTTAATTATAGAATTGAATGGAACCAAAAAGTTAGAAGGTATGATTCTATTTACAAGATGCCCAATAATTCTAGATTCTGTTCAATTACCCCTAATTCAACTTGGCATTATAAAAAGAAGCGAAGTGAATAGAGATATGCTACATGTATATAATTTGAGTTACTTAAGGGTGTCCACCCTCACAGGGAATGGACCCCACATAAATAAATTTTTAATCATGTGGAATACATCCCCTGTGAGAGGATGAACACCCTTAAATAACCCAAATTATGTACAAGTAGTGTTTTCCAAATGGATATACCATTCTGATGTCGAAGACTTTGGAAAGCAGGGTTCACCTCAGGTTCGCATATTTATATCTGGAGGACATCATATAATGTTATTCCAGTGGGACTCAATCTGGTAATTAAGTATATTGCCAGAGAACATTCAACGTACTATGCTTTTAACATTAATAAAATACAGAAGTTTGGGTTACGGAATTTGTGCAAAGTGATCCTGTAGATATAATGGAGACGTTAATGGGAACTTCCATCGCTGCTCAATATAAGTATTCGGACAAACATATGCATCACCGGAGATTCATTGAGCACATAAATTGATTGGGCCAAAAAGTGGGTCGACAAATATTAGTAATGATGGGACAGGTAACGAGGAATGGCCTCAGCTCAGCTAAGATGCTGCTGGGAGTAGCAAATGGGGTAAAATTGATGATGCTGGGGTGGCCATTCAGGACCAATTTGACAAACATTATTCACCCAAAAAACAAGAAAAAAAAAAAAAAAGAAGAAGGATTTACACAGTAAAATTTTCACCAAATAGACTGAATAGTACACTAACAAATTTAACAACCAGAATCAATTATAAGCTATTTGGAATTTAGCAACCACCATATTAATCAGATTAACTGAAATTGATTTCTTTTTTCATACTAATTCCCAAAAGAAATAACAGAAGACGAGAAAGAAAAAGATAAGCGTAGCCCAACAATTTCTTCATATAACTACTACACCCAATCCATCACTCATCATCCTCATCATCATCTTCATCATCATCCTCCTGCAATTGAAGAATACCAAAAGGAGAAGAAAATGTAAGTACACAAATATTTTAATTTACAGCTGAAACTAGCTGGAAAACTGGACTTGACAAATAACGTGGTGGTGAGGTGCACTATAAAATACAGACGATATTAAAAAAGAAAAAGTAACTCCTATAGCAACCAATCAAATCATATATCCATCCTAGGATACCAGACCAAAAAACAACTTTATTACAACAGAACATTAGAGAACTACATCCACAACTTTGACAAATCAAGAAGAAAATGAAGCTAAAATCATATCTATTGTACGGTCCAGTTATATCCAAAGTTTTAAATTAAGAAAAACAACTGTAGTAGTACTATAATACATTGATAACATCTTGCTTGTTCCTTGACACATAACAAACCATAATGAATTCTTTGTTAAGAGCAGGATAAATTGGATAAAAGGATAAGAGCACATATGAATAAGTTTAGAATAAGTAAACGTTAATTAACACTGACATTTTATTTTCAAACTGTCACAAGAAACTAGTTTTTAAAATTCAATTAAACAAGATCCCAAATTCAGTTTTGACATCTAAAAAACTCATCTTTTGAAGCTTTCTGGCTAAACATGCACTAATTGAATAAACTTAAATAGTGTACAAACCTCTCCGCTTCCTTCTTCATCATCCTCATCATTCACTTCAGAATTTGACTTCTCCGATTCTTCTTCAGCAGGTCCTTCAGCCTGTTTGAAATGTAAGCATTAATAGTTTTTAATATATAAACCCTTTGATTTTAGTTTTGAGAGAACTAAAAGAAAAATTACCAGTTTTTTGTTGTAAGCCCGAACTTCCTTTTCATAATCTACCTTCCTTTTCTCTGCCTTTGCTACATAAGGAGCTTTCTCCTGAAATTAATATACAGAAATTTAGAACAAATACATACACAAATTTAGAATTAAGAAAATAACAAACTATGGAATGCTTACAGCCGCAGAAAGTGATTTCCATTTATCTCCTCCAGCTTTCCCTACCTGAATAATTTTTTAAATTTTGAAAATGATGATTAAGGTTCTACTGCAACAATATATATAAATACGTATAAATTCGAGAAGATTTCTAGACTTTGACACGACTTTAATGATCTTTTTTGATCTAAAAGTATGGAGAAGACTTACAGCCGCCACGGATTTGTTGTTAGGGTGCTTCTCTTTGTAGGTTTTCCTGAATTCCTCCCTTTAATAAATAAAAAAAACCGTAAATAACGTAATAATTTATAACATATATACACGCACTCTCACAGAGAAATAGAAGCGAGTTCGTACATGAAAACGAAGAAAGCACTGGCAGGCCTCTTCGGTTTGTTAGGATCCTTAGCAGGTTTCCCCTTCTTCGTGCTCTTGCTTGCTGCAGCAGCACCTTTCTTCACCGAAAGCCTATCCATCAATAACCAAATATAATCAAATCAAATTAATTCTCAAAACAATAAAGTCGCTAGATCCAGAAATAGTCAAGCGTATAAACAAAAGAACAAAAAATAGAAAAAAAATGATAAACCGACTTGCTATCAGCTTTCTTGGTTTCAGCCTTGGATCTACCTCCTTTCATGGCGAAACCTGCAGAGAAACGGCGAAAATCGGTTAAACTCGGTCTCGAATCGGTCCGAATCGGTGCGAATCGGAAAAGTCAGCGGCGCACACCCACCTTTTCTAGGGTTTGAGAGAATAAAAACAATAATAACACACAAAACAAAGAGATATGCTTTGGCTTTGATTTGGTGTGTGGTATGAGATATAGAGAGAGTAAGGGGTGCGGTGGGGTTTTGAGGGAAAATAGCGTAAAATTTCGCCCAGAATAGATTCACAGAACCCATTGTAGCCCGGGCTTGCGCGGGATTTCAAATTTTCATGCCACGTCATCGATCCGTGTGAATTCGTTCTATTGGTTTAAATTCCCATTTCATTGGCTTTCTATTACCTTCTCTTGGCTCTGTGTTTCTTCTTAGGATAATCTGGTCCGTTGACTGGGAATATTGGGACACGATTCGACATCCTGGAGTTTAGGGGGTTTTTCGTCATTTGGTTACGCTTGTGGTGCTTTAGTGTGGGAATGACTAACCTAACCTTTGCGTTATAACGGTTTAAAGAAATCTCGATAAATAACGAAAATTGAGACGCGAGTGAGTTTTTAAGGTTATTTCTGTAATTATGATAGGTCCTCATCAATGATTTTTTTAAAAAATTTTCCTGGCTGGACCACATTTTAATTTAAAAGAAAAGTTTTCAATATTATGTCGTCGACTTTTTCTTCTTCATCTTATTATTATTTTTAAACTTCAAATAATTAATATATTTAGGACGTGATCGATCGTGCTTAAAATCCAATCAAAATTGAAAATATAGTCGTTATTGGGTCTCACTCATCTAATAAAAGTCAACAATAACAGTCAAATTTTCTATTTTGCTCCGATTTTTAACTCTACCGAACACGTCATTTATCTTTAAACTTGTTTGACCCACATTCTTTTAAAACTCATTTTCAACCACACATTTTTTAATAAAATAATATTTTCCATTACATCAATAATTTTTCTTTACTTTTTAACCACATATTTCTCATCGTATCATTATTTAAAATATATTATTTTCTCAATAATATCCGTCAAACACCCTCTCAATCATGTTTTTTATCCAAATCACTAACGTGCATTGAAAAGAATGGCAAATATTTTGTTTCACTTTTATATGCTCTCGTTTGATGTACATTTTTGAAAAAATAATGCATTTTTACTGTTGATGTGATGGAGAATATGTGGTTGAAAAAGAAGGAAAAATTATTGATATGATGAAAAATATTATTTTATTGAAAAATGTGTGATTAAAAATGAGTAAAAAATGAGAATGAAAAAAATAATATAACTCAAACGGGCCCATATTTATCTCGGTTATTTAAAAATACTAGAGATAAATATGTTTTTTTCGTCATCATAAGAAACATTTTGAACGAAAATCGTTTATGTAGACAATATGTGAAAATTAATAAATGATTGATGATTAAAAGATAAAAAAAAGTGCCCGCTAAATCTACCAATTAACAGTGTAAGAGATAATGATTAAAGATTTTTTATACATTGTAAAAATAGTGAATCGACAAGTAACAGCTGGAAGACCTTATGTCAGTGCCCGCTAAATCTACCAATAATGTGACTTAGCTCATTTCCCTAAGCAGTTCATTAATTATTGGAGATCACATGTAAGGTTAATTCATTATAACCTGACAGATCGAGCTCACTAACCATTCAAAACATGCTAATGATGTACTTCCTTGACTTGGCACTATAGCTGGTAAGATAAAGAAATGAAGAATGCATGCTAACACTCTCCTATAAAAAGGAAGAACGGTAGTCTTGGAAAGGGAAGAGGTTCCAAACATTTTATATTTCAAATATTTCATTGAAAAAAAGGCAAACACTCGTTATTATAATTGCAATTTACAAGAGCTTTATCAATAAAGTCCATATTTATATCCTAAGTTAGCTTGAATCTTGTTCTGACAATTTTCAACGTCAAGATTGGTGCTAGAAGTAGGGCCCCAACTTGTAACAGCAGCCTCACCTCTCCACTAAATCCATAAAGAAATATCATGATGGATGATTTTCATCATCCAGAAATCAATCCCATACTCGTCCTCAATAAACTAGCAACCTACAAAATATTGAAAGAAGACGAGGCCAAAACGAAGTTGTTGACCCTCGAATGACCATGATGAGGGAAGCTATTGAAAGTTAACAAGTATAGTCAATAGGTTGGAAAGAAACCAAACTTATATTCCACCACAGGAAACTAAGGTGGAATCCCCACACAGGGAGAGAACCGGACGACTTCCTACCAGGAGGACTCTTAAGTTCTCGGGAGAATAATCCTCCAAAAGCCGAACCGAAGAGGTTAGGAGTTCTCCAATAATGGTGAAGCTGGCTGCTAAGAAAGCTAGCAGTGTATTTGACAGACTAGGTTCTCAGCACTCCCAAACACCTCTGAGTAAACAAGATGAACCTCGTGCTAAATGATTATTGGGACAACTAGAGCCTGAAATTAAGTGCTTTGAGAAAACGCATCGCTGATTTGGAAGCTAGGATAAAGGAACCATGGGGGAATATCTCACCAAACGCCACTATCCCTTCACTGAAGATATACTTACTGAACCTTTGCCTGAAAAGCTGAAGATGCCACAACTGACTGGGTACGAAGGAGAAGGAGATCCTCACAGCCATCTAGACAAGCATACTTTTTGGATGGAGCTGCAAGGAGCAGGAGATGCCATAATGGTTTCGCTTTTTACGCTAACCATGGGAGATAAAGCCCAAAGATGGTTCAGAAGGCTACATCAAAGATCCATAAAAAATTGGAATAACCTTGCCACGGCATTCCTAGCTCAGTTTATGGGTTCTAAAGCAAGAACTACGCCTAGGGACCTGGTAAGCATTAAGCAGTGGAAGAACGAATCACTTAAAAGTTACCTCAGCAGATTCAATAAGTTGTCCATGGAAGTTGAAAATATCTCTGATGATGTCGCACTTATGGCAGTCCTTTCTACGCTAAGGCCTAGGACGAGGTTATGGTGCTCTGTACATGAGGATGGACCTCGGACGTCCCATGAGTTCCTGAATCGAGCTGAGAAAGGTGGTGGCGCTAGGTTTTACCTTCTTTTTATTCTTCTTTCTTTTTTCTTTCCTTTTTTTTTCCTTCTCTCTCCGTATCGATGATTTAGAGTTTTGTTTGTATAAAATGAAAATAGGTTCCATATAGTGTTACTTAGTGCTCCATTAAATCCAAATTACGATCAAGTTCCTCATTTTCTATTTTAATAACATTTAGTAGTTCCCATAATTGAAAACTAAATCTCAAAATTTTATTTTATTCGTCTTAACCCCTTATTAAATATCATTTTTCTTCGTTGTGGATAATTAATTCTGGACTATTCAAAATGATATCCTGAATTAGTAAAAAAATTGAAATTTGAAAGATGTACCCACGTGCCCGTGTCTGAAATTTGGACTCTTTTTAACCGTATTCCCATATCCTATATTTTAGAAAATAATAGATCTGACACTTAGATATGTATCCATACCCGACACCTGTACCCAAATCCGAGTATCATAGGCTGTGGCTACACTGGGATGGACTTTCCCTTATTATGTAAAGTGCAATGGAACTAAGAAAAGACTTGCTTCTCAGAAGTTTCTTTAGCCATCCTTACAATATTTTTTACATCAGCTTCCAATATAGATGACATGCCTGTAAAATGACCATTCTCCATAGGCAAAGGCACCAAATTCTTTTCACTTCTAGCCATCAGAATTCAGGAATAAATATAAATCAGCCTAATAATGTAATGAAACTGAATAGAAAAGTAGTAGAAAATAAGTAGAATTCCTTTGTTTTCATGAAGATTTCATGGTGGAAATGCAGATTTCAGGCGATTCGTTATATAGGGACTAAATCAGAATAGATGGTGGTGAACAATGCAAGAAGTGTTATTAAGAAAGACAAATTTCTAAAAGTTAGGATTACCTTAAACATTGAAAGAAAGACATAATACACGTTGAACATAAAATGTGTCAAGTCATTAGTTTATCCCAGTACTCGCCAATTTTCTTGTGCAATTTTTGAGAATCATTCACATGTGAACTTTTTGTTGAAAGTTTATGAGCTAACGCCTGACTCCATGCATAAGGTTCCATTCTATTTTTTAGTTGGTGGAATCAACGATAGTAGTGGCACGATCTTTGTTAAGATTTTTGAAACAAATTCGTTTATTCGGGATAATTACTTCTTTGGTTGTTCTAGTGATCGTTACTATCTTCACCTGTTTTAGAGTCTGTTAAAAGTAATCATCTCTCAATGCTTCTTGATGTTTCTACATTTAGGCTCCGTTTGATTGGCGGAGTTTTCCAGGGAAGTAGGAAAATATTATCATACTTTCACTTTTTTGACTGTTTGATATGCGAAATTTTTCATGGAAAATGTTTTCCTCCATTTTTCTAGGTACAACCCTTTGATGCACAAATGGTGGAAAATGTTTTCCCATCACCTAATATGTGGGAAAACATTTTCCACCTTTTTTTTNAAATTTTTTTTTCAAAAATTTTTTTGACAATGAGAACAAATTTAGTCTCAATAGTAGAAAAAATTATCATTTTAATGGACAAATTACTTAAAAAACGAAGTCAAATGGACACCAAAATTTTCAACATTTTCCATGGAAAATTATACAAATCAAACACAATTAATTACAATTCCTAGTAAAACATTTTCTTTTCACCCATTTTCCACCCTTGCAATCAAACGGACCCTTAAAAATTTATTACCCATCATTTTGAAAGTGAATTTTGTGTGTTTTTTAAGCAGTAATTGATGAAAGAATTTTCAATTCATTGGTTTTTAATGGTTTTTTTTTTTTACACTTTTAAATGATGAAAGATATTATAGGAATTTTCATAGAGTGAAATTTAAGTATAATAGAGACATAGCATACTAACTGCTATTTGTTCTGCTCACGTGTGTTTGAGGTTTGATTCTTTTCTATAGTTTGATGATACTATAGATATCAGAACTTGCATATTTAAAAAGGAAAATATTTTGTTAGTGGTTTCAGTTTAAAATAGGAAAAGAAAAATACTTCATAACTGAACAGTAGATGAAGGATTCCTTCTTTAAGAGAGTAGGGAAATATTTTAGTTGGTTGTTATTTACATAATTGTATGTTATTTAAATAATAATAGTTTCTTACGGTGACGGTTCAAACAAAGTACCTTTTTGGATTATTGGTAAGTTTGCTAATCCTAGATGTATTAAAAATGTGAATATGATCAAT